CCCAGGTCGCATCTGTTCACAGACAGGGCATCTGCCCCCGCTAGGATCTGTGAGCTCTAAGGCCAGAAGGGCCAGTGTGACCCTGGCACTGCACTGTGTGTCTGGAACTGCACTGTGTGCCTTCCTGTGTGACCCTGGCACTGCACTGTGTGCCTTCCTGTGTGCCCCTGCCACTGCACTGCCTGCCTTCCTGCGTGACCCTGGCACTGCACTGTGTGCCTTCCTGTGTGCCCCTGCCACTGCACTGCCTGCCTTCCTGCGTGACCCTGGCACTGCACTGTGTGCCTTCCTGTGTGCCCCTGCCACTGCACTGCCTGCCTTCCTGCGTGACCCTGGCACTGCACTGTGTGCCTTCCTGTGTGCCCCTGCCACTGCACTGCCTGCCTTCCTGCGTGACCCTGGCACTGCACTGTGTGCCTTCCTGTGTGCCCCTGCCACTGCACTGCCTGCCTTCCTGCGTGACCCTGGCACTGCACTGTGTGCCTTCCTGTGTGCCCCTGCCACTGCACTGCCTGCCTTCCTGCGTGACCCTGGCACTGCACTGTGTGCCTTCCTGTGTGCCCCTGCCACTGCACTGCCTGCCTTCCTGCGTGACCCTGGCACTGCACTGTGTGCCTTCCTGTGTGCCCCTGCCACTGCACTGCCTGCCTTCCTGCGTGACCCTGGCACTGCACTGTGTGCCTTCCTGTGTGCCCCTGCCACTGCACTGCCTGCCTTCCTGCGTGACCCTGGCACTGCACTGTGTGCCTTCCTGTGTGCCCCTGCCACTGCACTGCCTGCCTTCCTGCGTGACCCTGGCACTGCACTGTGTGCCTTCCTGTGTGCCCCTGCCACTGCACTGCCTGCCTTCCTGCGTGACCCTGGCACTGCACTGTGTGCCTTCCTGTGTGCCCCTGCCACTGCACTGCCTGCCTTCCTGCGTGACCCTGGCACTGCACTGTGTGCCTTCCTGTGTGACCCTGCCTCTGCATTTCATGCCTTCCTGCGTGACCCTGGCACTGCACTGCCTGCCTTCATGTGTGACCCTGCCACTGCACTGTGTGCCTTCCTGTGTGACCCTGCCACTGCACTGCCTGCCTTCCTGTGTGACCCTGGCACTGCACTGTGTGCCTTCCTGTGTGACCCTGCCACTGCACTGCCTGCCTTCCTGTGTGACCCTGGCACTGCACTGTGTGCCTTCCTGTGTGACCCTGCCACTGCACTGCCTGCCTTCCTGTGTGACCCTGGCACTGCACTGTGTGCCTTCCTGTGTGACCCTGCCACTGCACTGCCTGCCTTCCTGTGTGACCCTGGCACTGCACTGTGTGCCTTCCTGTGTGACCCTGCCACTGCACTGCCTGCCTTCCTGCGTGACCCTGGCACTGCACTGCCTGCCTGGGACTGCACTATGTGCCTTCCTGCATGAAAAACATTTGGTCTTGATTGAAAAATGGCCCATGCACTGCTAGGGAATCCTGGGAGATTGTTCCAGTGGTTCCTCCCCCTCCCTGGGACAGACGGATGCCGTATTTCTGAATGTGTCCCATCCGCGGGGTGGTGTTAGACATTTCTCTGCAGAGTGAAGAGCCCGGGGTTAAACAGGGTTCCCCAGGCAGGTACTTAGGGTGTGTTGGCCCTAAGCCGACTGCTGTGCGGTGGCTGGTGGCCGCACTGCTCTCCCTGAGAGTGCATCCTCACCCAGAGCGCTACCACCAGCTGAAGAGGGGCAGCGTGGGGGGATGAGAACCGGGAGCTCCATGCAGCTCCCGCCCCCTCCTTGCCGGGAGGCAGCCTGGCTCTGGCAGCCCAGTTTTCTTGCCAGTTTCACAGCAGCAGGAGCTGTGAGAGTGCCAAGGCAGCCGTCAGCCCCGCAGTAACACCACGGGGACACAGCCCCTGCGTGGCTGGAACTACCCTGACATAAGCCTCCCGTGGAGGTGGAGGTCGGTTTCTGGCCGTAGTGTGGACACTGATAGAGTTAGTGTCCCCGCGTTCACCTAACCGTGCAGTGCCGCTCAGCCCTGCAGACAGTCGTCAAGTGACCCGTCCACCTGGGAGTCTGTCACTAGGAGGCAGGTTTCTAACCCAGCCATTGTCCGCGGGGCTCTTGGCCTCCTCACCTGTGGGCCCCAGCACTGGACCCAGGATTCCAGCCACGGTGGCACCAGTGGTAAAATAACCTCTCCGCTCCTGCATGAGCGTCCCCTGTTGGCCCAGCCCAGGCTCCCATTAGCTCTATGGGCCACACTGGGGGTTCATTCACCCTCCCCAAATCTTTCCCAGGGTCCCAGCTTCCCAGGGCAGAGTCCCCACGTCTGTCAATAAAGCCTCAGTCCCTCCATGTGTGATGTGTGCAGCTGCCCCTGTGGAGAGGTCTCCCGCTGGCACTCCCGGCTGCCCAGGGTCCAGCGCACGCAGGTCAAGCAGTTTGGGGGCAGCCCCAGTCCCTCGCCCCCCGGCATTGGGATTGGAGCGCGTCTGCCCTGGGGAGGTTCTCTTACTAGGGACACCGCAGCTGCTGGGCCAGACCCCACTGGCTGGACTGCTAGTCTAGAGCTCCCCTCAGGCTCTGCAGATGGAGCCCCAGGCCAGCTGCAGTGTGGACACCTGCTTTCCTTGTCTTGCTCGACTGCTCCTCTTACAGCCCCTCCTTCCCGTACCCCACGCTCTCCCCCAGCCCAGGGGTGCTCTTGCCACCAAACATGTGAGTGCAGCTCCCACCCCCTCCGCCAGAGAGCATGGCTACTGCCCTCTACTTCTTCAGTGTGCGGTGGCCACCAGTGACCCCAGTTCCTGGTGACCTCATGGTCTAAGCCCATCCCTGGGCACTGCACCAGCTTGTGCTTCCTGGAGAAGCCTCATGTGGATACATGGCAGAGATGGGCTCAGTCAGTACTCCCTC